TTCATTCATTCATTCATTCATTCATTCATTCATTCATTCATTCATTCTCTCTCTGTCCTCTTTCCTCTAGGGAAAAAAGCAATAAAAAAAACAAAAATCAAAACCAACTGCAAAGAATCAACAAGACAAAAACAAAACAAAACAAAAAGCACACGAGAGAACATGGAGTCATTTGTGTTGGCTAAACACTCCTGGGCATGGGGCCTTCACCAGCCTTTATCCATCCCCTGGGGACTCAGCCTCTCGGTGCTGAGGTGCTGACCCGGAGTCTCCCAGGTTCTTTCTGATGAGTCCTCTCAGCCTTTTCTTCTGTCCCCTCTAGCCGTTTGTGGCTCCCCTTACCTGCAGAACGATTCTCGACCAGGGACCCCACACCCTCCACCCTTGGCTGGGTCCCAGAGTGGGCAACCACAATCAAAGAACCCACACCCACCCAACAGAGACAAGACAAACCTCGTCTCTCAAAGCTTGCAACACTTCACACGTTTTGCAGACATCTCCCTTTGCTTCTCAGAGAGTACAACCTGGAAACTGTTTCCCTGACTCTTCTTTACCGAGGCGACCAGCCAGGTCACCACCACTCTGGAAAGTCCGTCACATGGGCGCACACTTCAGGAACATTCAGAACAAGTGACGGAGCGCCGGAGTTCTGGAGTGCTCTCGCCCTGAGAAGCAGAGGTGAGGCTTTCCTACCTGTGAGCTGCAGTACAGAGGGGGTGAGTTTACGGAGCAGCACTTGGAGGCGAAGTCCGAGCGCTTGTCCACCATGTCTTTCATCTCTGCTGGAGAGGCATTGGGCATTTTTGTCCTCAGTCGCTCTGCCAGTCTGAAACAAAACAAAACATAACAGTTCTCTGTAAGGTTGAGCTGGAGGAATTGTAGAGACGTCGCTTAAACAAAGTGACAGCTCTTTCAGATAATGTAAAGTGGAAACAGAACTACTTGCCTGTCTTAGGAAACCCTGTTTGTGAAATGGATTCTGGGTGAGCCACACTGAAGTTAGAATTGAAATCTATGCCTTGTTCAAAGTCGTGCAAGCAAACGGAAGTTGCCACTGAATCTGAAAGCTGATCATTCCCCTTTTGGTAGCTTATTATTTCAACACAGGTGATGAATTTTTCTATTTTCCCTCCTCTCCATCGTTAAATTTCAAGCTCCTTTAAAAATGTGTCCTTCGGTGGACTTGGTTTCAGTTCATGCTTTTGCTTTTGTGTGCTTCATTTTCCTGACTTTGGAACTCAACTATGTGAACACACTGAAGTAGGAGCAGAACCCATTGGCTGTTGTTCCCAGGTGTTTCAATAGTTTACTTTCAAGATGTCGACAGGACTCGACACCTCTTGCTGTTTTCCAGCTTGAACTATTTATGATCTTGGTGCCACTTTCACCTTCATGGTGGGCCACTTAGCTTGGTTTATCACTTTCTCCAAGAAATGGGTTCTTACACCCATAGCGAGCAGCGCGGGGTAATGAGGGAAAATGCTTTATAGAACAAGACTTACACCTACTAAGGAGGATTTCACAGGGATCCCTGAGGAGACGGCCTGTTCTGTGGCTCTTTAACAAAATCTTTTTGGGAATCTGTGTGTTTATTTGAGTCCTATACTCTCACTGATTTAAAGTGGACATTTATTAAACAAGATGGAAGACGGCACAGTCTTTCTAGAGATTTTCTTCCAAGGACCCGTCACTGTCTTTCATTTTTTTATTATTTAATTATTTTTATTTTTATTAATTACAGTTTATTCACTTTGTATCCCTCCCCATACCTCCCTCCCTCCTCCCCTCCCAATCTCACCCTTCCTCCCTCATCTCCTCCCATGTCCCTCTCCCAGTCCACTGATAGGAGAAGTCCTCCTCCCCTTCCATCTGACACTAGCCTATCAGGTCTCATCAGGACTAGCTTCTTTGTCTTCCTCTGTGGCCTGGTAAAGCTGTCCCCCCCCCCCCCAGGGGGAGGTGATCAAAGAGCCAGCCACTGAATTCATGTCAGAGACAGTTCCTGTTTACTTTACTAGGGAAGCTACTTGGACACTGAACTGCCATGGGCTATATCTTTGCAGAGGTTCTAGGTTATCTCCACAAAGAGTCGTTGGCTAGAGCATCAGTCTCAGAAAAGTCTGGGACCCCTGTGCCCAGACTTTTTGGATCTGTTGCTGTCCTTGTGGAGCTCCTGTCCTCTCCAGGTCTTACTATCTCCCACTTATTTAATAAGATTCCCTGCACTCTGCCCAAAGTTTGGCTATGTGTCTCAGCATCTGCCTCGATACCCTGCAGGGTAGAGTCTTTCAGAGGCTCTCTGTGGTAGGCTCCTGTCCTGTTCCCTGTTTTCTCCCTCCTCTGATGTCCATCCTCTTTGCCTTTCTGAATGGGGATTGAGCATCTTAGCCAGAGTCCTCCTTCCTGATTAGCTTCCTTAGGTGTACAGATTCTAGTATGTTTATCCTATATTATATGTCTAATATCCACTTATGAGTGAGTATATACCCTATGTGTCTTTCTGCTTCTGGGATACCTTACTCAGGATGATCTTCTCTAGGTATCACCATTTACCTGCAAATTTCATGATTTCCTTGTTTTTTATCGTTGAGTAGCCCCTCAGTTGAGGAATGGATAGAGAAATTGTGGTACATCTGCACAATGGAATATTACTCAGTGATAAAAAAACAAGGAAGTCATAAAATTTGTCTTTCATTTTTATGGCCAGTTATTTTATTGTTAATTTCTACTTACAGTGAAACGCTTCCTCTTTAATTGAGAAAAATAACTGTTGCACCATGTTATTGATAGGCAGCATGTTTATTTCCAGTTCATAAGGAACACATACTGGTGATGGCTGGCTTCAGACCAGCATGAAACCTCAGTTCTTGTCAGAGAACAAACATCGGCCGATAACTCCAGATAACATGACCAACTATACGCTCATGTTGCCATTTTGAATCAAGCCCCTGCAGATAGTTTATATTCTTGTGGCCATGTTCTAATTGGCCACTCACCTAAGGCCGATGACATACCCCGTGCCCTGGAAACATTTAAAATTTAAAACATTTAAAATTGCAAACCTTCTTCATCTTTCCCTCACAGCATCCTAAATTTTCACCTCTACTTCTCTATCACAGAACTGGGCAAGCACAACAGACACATTTGGAGGATGAGGCCACAAAACCAGCCACTTACTTTTTCTTGTACTCAGTAAATGTGTTCTCAGAATAATCTGCACACATTTCCTGCCCCTTTTCAATGAAGGAATTTAGTTGGTTCTTCAGCAGGGGACTCTGTAAAATAAATATTACTCATCAGCATCCCTTGTGTATAAATACTGTCCCATGAGGCCATTAGATCAGAATTACATCTCCCTGCCCAAGGTATCAACAAACACTCTTTCTTTTCCTTCCTTCCTTCCTTCCTTCCTTCCTTCCTTCCTTCCTTCCTTC